AAAGAATAGTTTAAAGACTATATTTCTTACTTCAACTTCACAATGAAGAACTAGACTGAGGCTACTTCACATAGCATGCCTCAGGACATACTTCCTGTAATATCAGAACAGAAGCAAAAAGGAGCTAAGCAACAAACCTTCCTTCTCTAGCTGTCAAGTCCTTTGACCTCCAAGACCCAGCAGAGTCCTTACTGAACCTTTTTTTTTTTTTTGTCTGTCATGGGGCCTGAACTCTGGTTCTGGGCGCTGTCCCTCAGCTCTTCAGCTCAAGGCGAGCATTCTACCACTTGAGCCACAGCGCCACTTCTGGCTTTTTCTGCTTAGGTGGTGCTAAGGAATTGAACTCAGGGCCTGAGCCACCTTCCCAGCCCTCTTACTGAACCTTTTAAGCTTCTGACATTCCCCAGTAAAGAAAGTCCCCCAGCAGAGTTCAAGCCCCACACTGACAAAAAAAAAAAAAAGGGTGTGTGTGAGGGATAGGTTAAAAACAATTTTAAAAACCACATGCTTGACAAGAAATGTACTCATTTTCTTACTCATGTAACTGTAACTCCTCTGTACAGCATCCTTACAAAAACAAAACAAACAAAAAACAACAACAAAAAACATATGGTGGGGTGTTGGTGGCTCATGCCTGTAATCCTAGCTACTCAGAAGGCTGGGTTCTGAGGACTGCTTTAGAAGCCAGCTTAGGCAGAAAAGTTCCCCTGAGACTCTTAGCCAATTAACCAGAAAATCAGAAATAGTGCTATGGCTGAAAGTGGAAGAGCACTAGCCTTAAGCAGAAAAAATGCAGGGATGGTGCCTAGGCCTTGAGTTCAAGATCCATGACCAACAAAACAACAACAAAAGACATGGAAAGTTTGTAAAGCAGGAAAAGACAATGGAAGGTAAATGTTGCTTTATTTTAAATATTTAAGGACTCAAAAACAAAGAAAATCTGTTCGCATTGGGTACAAACCATAATCTTCCTAAGCATCACAGATATTTGTAAAACCCAAATTATGTTCACAAAGCAATTTCTTGATTCCTGATTAACATCACAAAATAGATAAGGCTTAGCAACAAACCAATAGGTAATTCTATATTGCTTTAATTTGAAACCAACTAGCTCTAAATTATTCACCTAGCTCAAGAACAGACATGTGTATAACTCAAAATGATAAAAAAAAAACAACCCAGACCATTTAAATTTTACTTTGGAATGTGCTTTTTATTTCAGTTAACACAGGTTATGTCTAGATTTTAGCAATTAACTTAAAGGTATGTTATAGGAAAGGGGAAATGCACAATGCCAAGCTTGTGACTCATCCCATATTAAGAACTGAAGATGTTTGAGGCATTATCCTTTTCTTCACACTTTTTTTTGTTTAACCTTTCATTTTTTTTTTTTTACCAACATGCATGAGTAGTTCTATTATTTTCCTTAGTAATAAAGTATTTTTGTTTGGAAAACAAAAGTAAAGTATCACATTTTTCTAGAGAAGGTAAAATGATTGAGGCCAGAGAACTTCTCTGCAATAGAGTACTTTAAAAAAAAATACTAATAGAACCAGACAATAACGAAACATTAGCAAAGCAGTAGTTTTAAGAGCTATCTTTTAGGTTTGCAATGCCAGTAATTTGAATATTTTGTAGAAAATATTAGAAGGAACAGTAGTTTCAGCAACCAACGGGGAATAAAGCAGGAATGTTACTTAACTTTAAAGATAGTTTTGACAGGTAATTGATTAAAGATTTATTTTGTTGTGACAGCACAAAGTCAAAGCTTTTATAAGCAAAATTAGGTACAAGTTAATAAATGTTGATGATTGGAAAGGTTACTATTTTTGAATGTTAGATGAAGATTAAGACAGATCTTAAGAGTAGACCAGGGCAACCTTACTTAGACAGTATAGACATAACAGTATCTAGATGTTATTTTCAGATGATACTAAAAGATATGAGCAGGTGAAAACTTGTACTTTCACACAATTGTGTGTGTGTGCTACAATTGGGGCTTGGAATTTGGGGCCTGGGCACTGTCCTTCAGACTTTTCAGCTTAAGGCTTGTGTTCTACTACTTGAGCTCACAGCTCTTCCTGCCTAGGCTGGTATAGAACTATAATCCTGAGATCCCAGTCTCTTGAGTAGCCATAATTACAGTTGTGAGCCATCAGTACTTGGACAGTTCTTAAGCATGTTCTGAAGTATCAGCAATGGTTATGAAATTCATCTCTTTTTTTTTGCCAGCTAGTCCTGGGGCTTGAACTCAGGGCCTGGGCACTGTCTGTGGGCTTCTTTTGCTCAAGGCTAGCACTCTACTACTTGAGCTACAGTGCTTCCGGTCTTTTGTTTATGTGGTACTGAGGAATCGAACCCAGGGCTTCATGCATGCTAGGCAAGCAATCTACCATTAAGCTACATTCCCAGCCTCAGCCAATACTGTCTATTGAAGTTACCATCTATGACAACACAAGCTGAGCCATATACTGTTGCATTATAACTTTGTTTAGAAACCCACAACATTTTATAAGTTGTGTAAGAAAATTCAACATAAGGATGCTTTGGGCTATACTTCAGTCTTTAATATTTTAAAAAAGTTATTAGCAGGGTGTTGGTGGCTCATACCTATAATCCTAGCTACTCAGGAGGCTGAGGTATGAGGATCACAGTTTGAAGTCAGCCTGGGCAGAAAAGGGCCCTGAGACTCTTTATTTCCAATTAACTACTCAAAAACTGGAAGTGGAATTGTGGTAGTGCTAGCTTTGAGCAAAAGAAGCTCAGGGACAGTGCCCAGTCCCTGGGTTTAAGCCCCACAATAGAGAAAAAAAAAAAGAGAGAATAATAAAAAAAAGTTTTAGCATTTATTTTAGTAAAACAGTATTTATAGGGGCAAATGGAACATTATTTCCTATTTCCTATGTAAGCAATGGGAGTTAAAGACTTGACTTTTAAAATAAAACAAACATTCTCATTTTGTTGTTTAAAAAAATGCTTTCATTTTAATGATCTGAGTTAGTAACAAACAAATATACAAAATTGTCATTCACATTTCCATACATTGTATTATGGACCAATTGAAAACTCTGGACTACAAATGCAAGTTTCTTTGTATCCTTAACTTCAATTATTGTCACTTACAAATAAATGTGATTTGCAGTAACATGCATTTGTGAACACAGATGTCCAAAGCTGTGCATGTAAGTTAATGCACAGTAGTATACACATTGTTCATTTGTGCAGTTGTGTGTCAAGTATATCTGACACAGAAGCAGCTTTCCTGGGCTATTATACTCTATCTGAAAAGCATTTTTGTAAAACAGATGGAAATAAAGACTAAAATGAAAATCCTATTGTACCAATGCAATAAAATTCATCACTTACACAACTGAAACAACTTTTTGGAAAGCTGCTTCAATAAACAATGCTGCTGCACTGGTTACAGACATGGGCTGGAATAAAACTGCTTTAAATATGTATACTATGAGGCTAGTTATAGTTTTAAATGGGACATTTTGGCAACAGTCCTAATGCTTGAGTCTACCCATGAATATTCAGAAATTTGGAATTTTAAAATAATCTGAAATCTTCTTCACTACTATAAAATGCAATTTATATTTCCTCCTGTAAGACCAGTGATTCCTATGGCATAGGTTCAAAGGAAAAGTGAGTTCTTAGTTCAACTTGCTGCAATAATGCTTAAGTCATAAAATTATAATTTCCGAAGGTGATCAAATAAGTGGAAACTGGAACATAATGAAAGTGGCCAGAAAGCCTTCTCCACCCACTCATCTGAACTAGTAATGAATACCAACACATAATGACTTTTTACATTAAATTATTTCCAGATCTCTATAGGTAGGAAAAATCCAATCTTTCTTAAAAATATTTTCCTCGGTTATAGCAACATATGCTTTACCTCTGTAAGTCTATTTACAACCTAACAGTATTCCTATATTATAAATTTCAAATGCCCTGGCAAGGAATGTAATGCTAACCAACTATATTTATGTGACTTCATATGAAAAGAACTTGTGTGTAGTCCCACTTTTCTCTAAGGCTTGAGGCTGATGTTCTCCTAGGTGATATGGAACAAGTAAGATGGTGCATCTAAACAACAGGGTCTGTGTCTCTGAGTCAGTGTTATAGGACTTGGCCTCTCATTATGAAAACATGTGTTTTGCTAACACAACTAAAATTGTAAACACTTTGAGGACAACTGCAGTCCAAAAGGAAAGAGATTGTTTTCTATGGGAAACAAGATTAAAATTTAAGGAAACATCTTTGTTGTCCATGGGCTTAAAGTTTGGTCATCTACTTCAAGTTACTCAAATGCATGATGAGTTTTAAAAATACTTAAAACCATCTATTCTTCAAGGTAAGCCAGGGAAGTAATGGGAAGATCTACCACACTATTGGGAAATGTAGCTTCCTATTCTGCACTTTGGAAGCCAAGTCTAACAAGAAAGAAATATGGCTGCTTCCTGCTCTTCTCCATATGTAAAATTAATTTTATGATTCTTCCACTGTGCATATTCTCTGCATCTTTCATATGAGTTAGGCAAAGTAAATCTAATGTTACTTTCGTTTTACAAAATAAGTTAAAAAAGAACTTTAAGAAGTGGAACATTTGAACCATTAAGAAACTTCCTTATTGAGTACTTTGTTTAATGGCCGGTACAAGCACTAAGAATTATTGCTTTCAATAAAATAACCTTCAGAAATAAATATGTAAGCTTAATTCAAATATTCATTTTTACCCAATGCTACAATGTTTTATTCCCAAGTCAAGTGGCATATTATTCAATTATTTGACCACTCGTTGGCCTGCTAACTCAATATTAAGATACTAGAAATATCCACATAAGCATGTCTTACTTGGGCACTGAACAGTAACGCTGTTTCTTGACAGGATTTAAGGCACTAAATGGTGGTAAAACAAACAAAAGTATGATGACTACAATTTCTTTGACTTCTAAAACAGGAGATAATTTAGAATGACACTAGTAAATCTTTTCCATAAACAAATAAGGCATCCTGTTTGGCAAATGTAAATGAAATATAAGGTCTTGTTGAACCAGTATATTCACTGTCTCAGCTAAACTGCTTGGAACATTAGCTATTAAACTTAAGAAAGCTACGATAGTGTGTATAAAGGTTAAAAGGCACCAAACGGAGAATTCCATTTCCAGTTCTAAGTTAGGGAAGCTGTTCGTAGCACTGCATATTATCTGATTACTAGTTTCATGTTTCAACATGTATCATGCAGATTTTTACTTTGACAAATCAGTTTATATCAAGTGCTAATTTAGTAAAAAATTTATGGAAATGAATTAAGAAAACTGCTGCAGTGTTTAACACAGCCCCATTTATAAAGCTAAACTAATTCTAGCACTGAGTGCACATTGTGAGTAACACTGGAACAAACCTTTATGAACAAAAATGATTACCTCAAGATAGAATTCACGATAGATATTTGACATATGACTAAATAGGATTTACTGAAAACGATGAAGTACAGTACAGATATAGAGGCATAATTATAACCACAGCATTTTCCTTGTGAAAAATACAACTATTAGTAAAATAAAATGTACAGCTGAAAATCTTCCAAAGGAAAAGACACAGTATAAACGAAAATACTTTTCTTTGTGATAGGGAAAATAGTATGTCACTGTTTTTCATCACAATATAATTTGACACAAAAAGCAGTCATAGAATTGCACCAATTCCACATCCAGTTTCCTGAACATGTTAAAGAGTCCATAAAGCAGAATGCAGTTTCTGAATTTTATATTTTAAATTGATGATATTCTCACACAAGGATGTCATGTCCTACCAGATCTGTTTACACAATGTACAATACTTTCGGTTTTGTGGCTCAAGCGGAGGTGACTCTGCCATCTCTCTCATTCTGACATTTAATCAGTTAGGGAGGGTAAAAAAATCAAATTAAGTGTCATTTCTCTGGCAATAAAAGTTATATTTAGTGCATGCTTCATCATTTGTAAAAAACAAAACTCAGTTACCCAATGGTTTAACAAAATAAAAACCATTCATTAGGATAAAAATGTGGTGGGATTAAGGTGATGTCTAAGGACTGACATCTGTGGCAGCACCACTGTCTTTAGCAGAAGTCCCGGTGAAAGTTCCCTGATGGAAGCTGTCATGCCTGCACCGCTGTTTGATGACTATCTGTGATGACTCCCTCCGCCATTTCATTAGTGCTATAAAAATGGTGGGGTGTTTGTGGAAATGTTAGGAACATTTCTGCTGTACATGGTTTAGAAGTTCTCCAAATTTTTCAAATAGGTCCTCCACCCATTTTGCATTTTTCATACAAAGTTGAACAATTTCCTCCTGTCCTAAGTCTTCATTTTTTTTCTGCACAGAAGAAATCTAAAATAAAAAAAAAATTGACCTGTTGAAGTCTGCCCTTATTATCATTGGATTTATGGTGGCATAGAAGGTTTGAACAGTGACTCAAACTTTCTTAATTTCTTCTATTTGTGTTAAAAACCAAATGACAATACTGATGTCAATTCTGCATCTCAGAGTAAATATCAACAGTTTGCATTACCATCTTTGCCTCTCCTTTGCTAGAATGAGATTACATTTATGAAAATCCATTTTATACTAATGTCTAATACATCTCAAATAGGTTTGGGCTAAACTTAACCACTGATAATGAAATTAACACTTATGTTTGTCATACTTAAAAATTATAATTAAAAATTGACCTCTGCAAATAAGTAGGATGAGGCCATTTTTAGAAATAAGACAATGAGAGATTTATTATGGCAATATAAATCAAGTTCTAGAAAGATAAAACATCACTAGTTAGAGCTCAAGAGGTAGTAGTAAGGCTTTGAAAAATCTGAGCCAAATCACTGCTCAGAAACTCAAAATAATGTACTAATTACTTACAGAAAGATAAAGCAAAATACACACATTTTAGAATTCTTTCTAAAGGTTTCATAAATACTATTGCTAGACTATCTTCAATATTAAAGAAAAAAGCCATTTCTTTTTTAAGTAAATGAAATTACCTCATTCTTACATATCAGATACACATGATATTTATAATGATGGAGTGAATGATACAGAGAATACAACTGTATTTTCTCTGGATCAACAGCAAACTCCTGTAAAAAGAAAAAAAAATGTTTATGGATATTTTCATGGGACATTTGAGCTAAGAATATCTTAGGAAAATATCTGGTCAGAAGTCACAAAAATCATGAAAATGCTTTACAGAGTTAGGTATCAGGGTATATTAATATACACAAAAGTTTACTAAGAGTTTGAAATACAGGGCTGGGAAAGTGGCTCAGTGGTAAAGCGCTTGCCTTGCATGCATGAGTCTCTGGGTTCGATTCCTCAGCACCACATAAGCAAAAAGAAAAAAGCTGGAAGTGGTGCTGTGGCTCAAGTGGTAGAGTACTAGCCTTGAGCTGAAGAGCTGAGGGACAGCGCCCAGGCCCAGAGTTCAGCCCCCCCCCCCCAAAAAAAGTTTGGAACACACACACACACACACACAATTTTTCTGTTGGTCATGCAGCTTGAACTCTGGGTGGGGCGATGTCCTTAAGTTTTTGTGCTCAATGCTAGTGCTTTCTTTACCACTTTGAGTCAAAGCTCACTTCCAATTTTGGGGTAATTAACTGGAAATAAGAATCTCAGTCTTTTTTTGCCTGGGCTGGCTTTGAACCATGACCCTCAGAACTCAGCCTCCTAAGGAACTAGGATTACAGGCGTGAGCCAATAGCACCCAGCTATTTTTATTTACTTTTGTGCTGGTCTCACATTGTGATGCTCTTGACTGCCCCAAGTACTGGCACTACCTTGCTCAGCTAGACACATATATCTAGGCATTTTTTAACGTGTTTCTACAAAATACATTTTTTAATTTACTCAGGCAAGAGCTAGATTTTATTAAGGTGAAGTGATTGGGAGCAATAGCACATGCCTAAAGGAGGCAGAGGATATCCAGAAGTCAAGTTCTAAAATATATTACTGATGTACAGCTGTTATGCTGACAGAATGCTGAGGTCTATAACAATTTACTATATGTGAACAAATACTAATTTAGTGATTTCCAGAAAGAAAGTCAGTATTCAATCTTAAGGAATGTTTATATAATCACCTGCATGCACATGTATCCAAAGAAAAAGCTACAAACAGGTCATGAATAAGTTAGTAGTTCACTATTTGTACATATTTATAAAAACAGGCTATACATGACTAATATAATTTTATTTGCCAATTAAAAATTAAAACTATACAAATAGTAATGGAATGATTCTTTTTTTATTATTTTAAGAAATCTATATACTTATATATATTTTTATTACCTACTAGGTATTAATGTGGGGATAGGAGAAAAACATCAAACAAAACTGAGTCCCTGTTCAGCAGGCCAGAAATAATTATTCCATATAAAAAGCTTTCATACTTAATAACAACACAATGAAAATATTTTCATGTTTGAGTAGTTTAGACAGGAACTGTATTATAACAACTGGAAAAGTTATACTTTCATTAAACAATATATACTTACTTGAGCAGATTTAGCAGTTGTTTTGGAAGTTCTTAGAGTTTTCTTATTATAAGCTTTGCCATTCATTTTGATTTTAGAAATAGCTGATCCTCCAGTTTTTGCTTTAGAGTCTCGAGTAATTATTGTTAGTTCAGGAAAACTTTCCAAAGCAGTCTTTAAAACAATAAAGCATATTAACTGACATTAGAATTATAGTTCCATCTTCCCAAATTCAAACACACACAAACACACACAAAGGAAACTGATGTGATCTAATAAATATACACAAGGCCGGGCGCTGGTCGCTCACGCCTGTAATCCTAGCTACTCAGGAGGCTGAGATCTGAGGATCGCGGTTCAAAGCCAGCCCGGGCAGGAGAGACCGTGAGACTCCTATCTCCAATAAACCACTAGAAAACCGGAAGTGACGCTGTAGCTCAAGTGGTAGAGCGCTGGCCTTGAGCTGAAGAGCTGAGGGACAGCGCCCAGGCCCAGAGTTCAAGCCCCATGACTGACAAAAAAAAAAAAAAAAAATACACAGAACACAGTGTAGACATCGTTACAAATTCTTTGCACCTTCTCCCATTAGATATAGGATCTATTTCCCTATTTCTTGAACCAAGGCAAACAATGAGACCTGTTTTTAAGCAACAGTACCCTGCAATGAAATAATTTCAGTTTGTCCCAGTAATGGCTTTCTGGCATGTAGGGGATATAGGACCATACAGGTTTCTTCAAAATTCAGTCACTTAAACGGTGGTTAAGGGCTGGGAAGGTGGCTCAGTGGTAGAGTGCTTGCCTCACTTGCCCTGAGTTTGTTTCCTCAGCACCACATAAGCAGAAAAAGTCAGAAGTGGCGCTGTGGCTCAAGTGATAGAGCACTAGCCTTGTGCTGAAGAGCTGGGGGACAGTGCCCAGAGTTCAAGCCCCACGACCGACAAAAACAAAAAACAAAAAACAGTGTTTTAATGCCCTGAAACGGCCACATCTACTGTAAAGAAGTCATCTGCCCTCAGACTAAGACGACAAGATACCAATGTTTCTCTGCCCTCACTACTTCTCTCACTTCTTTTCACTGCACAAAATGTACCTCTAAGTTAAGGTCCTAAAAACAGCTTGGTGAATCTTCTCACCCACAAAGACATGGTAGCTGGTAGACACATGCCAGAACGAATTCTATTCTGTTCCTTAAAAGCCATTGATGTGCCGGACGCTGGCGGCTCATGCCTGTAACCCTAGCTACTCAGGAGGCTGAGATCTGAGGATCATGGTTCAAAGCCAGTCTGGGCAAGAAAGCCCATGAGACCCTTATCGCCAATAAATCACCAGAAAACTGGAAGTAGGGCCATGGCTCAAGTGGTAGAGAGCTAGCCTTGAGCTGAAGAGCTGAGGTATAGTACCAGAGTTCAATCCGCATGACTGACCAAAAAAAGAAAAAAAAAAAGCCATTGATACAAGTATGCCCTTACCAACTTAGCAGGTCATCCTGACAATGAAAAGTTTCAAGCAAAGACAGGCACCAGTGGTTCACACTTATAATCCTAGCTACTCAGGAATGACTGAGACTCTCATCTCCAATTAGATCACAGAAAAAGCCAGAAGTGGTTCAAGTGGTAGAGCACTAGGTTCAAGCAAAAGGAGCTTGGGGACACTGCCCAGGCCCAAAGTTTAAGCTTCAGGACTGGCAAAAAAAAAAAAAAAGTTCCAAACAGTAACCAAATGATACTTGTAGTAAAACTAGACTACTTAGTTATAATTTTAAACAAGTTAGATTGAGCTACATCAATTTTTTTTTTTTTTTTTTGGTTGGTCGTGGGGCTGAATTCTGGGCCTGAGCACTGTCCCTCAGCTCTTCAGCTCAAGGCTAGATCACTAGAGCTACAGCGCCACTTCCGGTTTTCTGGTGGTTTATTGGAAGTAAGAGTTTCATGGACTTTCCTGCCCAGGCTGGCTTTGAACCTCAATCCTCAGATCTCAGCCTCCTGAGTAGCTAGGATTATAGGCATGGGTCACTGGCACCCGGCTACATCATCAATTTTTATTTTGACAATAAAAGTTAAAATATTCCCACTTAAACTTATGATTCAAATGTAATCTATGATTGATAAACTCAATTATCAACTGTTGTAACCTTCAAGGCCACTGCATTATAAACTCAGTTTCTACTTACTGGTATTGTGGTTCTGAAAATGGTAAATCTTGAAAACAACTCCAAAAAGAAATACTTTTTTTTTTAATCAATTGTGGGGCTTGAACTCAGGGCCTGGGTGCTGTGCTTCAGCTCTTCAGCTCAAGGCCAGCACTCTACCACTCGAGCCACAGTGCCAATTCTGGTTTTCTGAGTGGTTTATTGGAAGTAAGAGTCTCATGGACTTTTCTGCCCGGGCTGGCTTTGAACCCTAATCCTCAGATCTCAGCCTCCTGAGTAGCTAGGATGATAGATGTGAGCCACCAACACCCAGCTAAGAAATACTCTCTTTAGGGGCTGGGAAGGTGGCTCAGTGGTAAAGATTGCTTGCCTTGCATGCATGAGGCCCTGGTTTTGATTCCTCAGGACCACATAAGTAGAAAAAGCTGGAAGTGGCGCTGTGGCTCAAGTGGTAGAGTGCTTGCCTTGAGCTGAAGAGCTGAGGGACAGCACCTAGGAGTTCAGGCCCCATGACCACAACAACAAAAACAAAAAAAAAGAAAAAGAAAAAGAAAAAGAAAAAAGTAAGGCAAGAGGATCACAGGTTTGAGACCAGCCAGATCTACAAAAAAGGAAACAAAAAACTTCCTTGGGTTGAAGTACTCTAGGAAACTAAATGTTATTTGCCACTTCCTACTATATTAAGTTGGCCATCTATTTCTAGCTGTGTTCCCTTTTCAAATCATTTTGTATCTCATTATTTATTCTGATGCTTTGTATTTAAAACATGTGTCCTGTTGGAAAATTTGAGACTAAAAATGGATTCTAAATTTGGAAATCAGAGGCACTAGGTCAGCAGAAATGAGTAAACTTAAACTTTGTGCTCATTGACCATAAGAACCTAAAGATGCGAAGTATGTTCAATTCCGAAGGCTGCAGAATTGATCCAAAAAGGACAAAGATTACCAGGAAAAATGGTGCTGATTATTTCAAGGTGAAGAACTATTTTTTTTTTTTTTTTGTCGGTCGTGGGGCTTGAACTCTGGGCCTGGGCGTTGTCCCTCAGCTCTTCAACTCAAGGCGAGCGCTCTACCACTTGAGCTACAACGCCACTTCCAAGAACTATTTTTTTAACCTACTACTAAAAATATGTTCCTACAAATCTGGGGCTTTTTGGTGGTAGTGGTTACAGTTCTGGGGTTTGAACTCAAAGCCACAGTACCACCATGTGTGTTTTCATACTTATAATCTCAGAATTCAGGATGGTTGTCAATTTCAGGCTAGCCTGAGCAAATAGTAAGCTTATCTTCAGCTCAAGGCTAGCACTCTACCACTTGAGCTATAGCACTACTTCCAGTTTTCTAGTGGTTTATTGGAGATAAGAGTCTCATGGACTTTCCTGCTCGGGCGGGCTTTGAACCGCGATCCTCAGATCTCAGCCTCCTGAGTAGCTAGGATTACAGGCATGAGCCACCAGCACCCAACTTTTTTCTTTTTGAGAAGTCCTCACTATGTAGGTCAAGTTAGTCCCACTTTCTTTCTTTCTTCCTCAATGTCCTGAATGCTAGAATTACTGATGGGTGCCACTAGGTCCGGCTGTAATATTTAGTACTTAGTACTAGGCTCTTTATCATGTACAACAAATGCATGGCAGTGAAAAATACGTAACTACTAGTACAGTGTAGTGTCATTTAACTGTGAACTCAATCAGAGAGACTCAAGGTTCAACTGTGTACAATTAAATCAGTAGTCACTTTCATATAGAGTTCATAGAGATGTGACAAAGCTGCACAATTGTATATTATTTGCCATCAACATAAAGTTTCATAAATAGGTAGTCAAATCTAGATGTGATTATGCTATAGTGTATATACAAAAATTTAAAAGTATTTTAACTATCTCAATGATAAACTTTGAGTTTAGATTACCTTTTGAACTTGAAATAATTATGTATCATCATTATATGAAAATCAAATTTCATCAAGAAAATAAATTATGTTTAAAAAGGAAAATTTTAATTATAGCAAAATATGAAAATAAGATTTTAAAAGAAAATTGAGATCTGAATGTAGTAGTTTAAAGGAATTGCTTTTGGAAAACATTTAGAAATCCATTAGAAGGATTTTGTTAAATTACAAACACCTATAAAGTGAATTTCAACATAGAAAAGGAAATGAGAAACATTAAAAAAAAACAAAAGGGACTCATAATGAAGAAAAAACAAGTCAACATAAAGTTGTAATTTTGTAAAAGTGAGATAACTTTCCTAAGCTTTCCTTCCTATTACATTTAAGAAAGACTTACTAAATTTCACGAACAAATCAAATACCTTAAATGATTGATCCAAATGAAGATTCAAAAGAAGTCTTTTTCGGTTGTCATTTAGCATGCCATCGATCTTTTTCATATGAGGTAAAAGTAGTTCATCTGAAATAACATAAAATTTATTTTAATGGATAAACTAGCAACATAAATATTTATTAAAAATCCAACTAGGTTTTATGGTACTATGTGAGCAAAGGACTATTTAGTATGATGGGATGTACTTTGCAAGTCTTGAGTTTTAGATTGTACTGAATTAACTAAGTATATTTGGTTTTTCATCAAAGAAGAACCACTGGAGGGGCTAGGAAGGTGGCCCAGTGGTAGAGCGCTTGCCTTGCATGCATGAAGCCCTGGGTTCGATTCCTCAGCACCACATAAGCAGAAAAAAATGGAAGTGGTGCTGTGGCTCAAGTGGTAGAGCGCTAGCTTTGAGCTGAAGAGCTGAGGGACAGCGCCCAGGCTCAGAGTTCAGGCCCCATGACCGACCAAACAAACAAACACCAAAACCCCCCCAAAGAACCAGTAGATAACAATGCCTCATTTATCATATGAATAATAATAGTATTATAAAACTACAAACTTGTCTAACATTATATATTCTTGAAAATTCTATGACCAAGAGAAGATATATTTTGGGGGCAGTGTTGGAGATTAAATGTAGGACCTCATACATAGGAGTCAAACATTGACCTACATCCCTAGATATATCCCCAAGATATTCTTAGTTCATTGTCGTTAGACACAAAGAAAAAGTAGGGGAAGGATATATTTCCACATCAGCCTGGACAGAAAAGTCTATGAAATTCCATTTCAATGAAAGAAGCTGGATTTAGTGGTACACATCTCTCATTCCAGTTACAATAAACTTTAGTCTAGGTGTGCATCCAAGCAGGAATTAAAACTATCCTAAAATAACCAGCACAAAAATAAGGGCTATATTTAATAAAAACAATGGAATACAGAGAAAAAGAAAGGCTAGAGGCGTAGCTTAACAGTAAGTAGAATGCCTGCCTAGTAACTGTGAAGTTCTTGAGTTCAAACCCCATCCCTCATCCCCAAGAAAATCCCCAAAACCCCAATGTCAAAAAATGAGTCACAGGCAGGGAATGTGGCTTAGTGGAAGAGTGCTTGCCTAGCATGCAGAAAGCCCTGGGTTCAATTCCTTAGTACCACATCAACAGAAAAAGCCAGAAGTGGCGCTGTGGCTCAAGCGGCAGAGTGCTAACCTTGAGCACAGAAAGGCTCGGGGACAGTACGCAGGCCCTGAGTTCAATCTCTAGGACTCACCAAAGGGGAAAAAAAAAGAGTCACAATAGTTGTTTTAGAAAAGGGAGAATAAAGCCGGGCACTGGTGGCTCACGCCTGTAATCCTAGCAACTCAGGAGGCTGAAATCTGAGGATCACAGTTCAAACCAGCCCAGGCAGGAATGTCCATGTGACATTTCTCTCCAATTAACCACCAGAAAACTGAAATGGTTCTGTAACTCAACTGGTAGAGTACTGGTTGGGCTGAAAAGCTGAGGGAAAGCACCCAGGTCCAGAGTTCAAACCCCAGAATCAACAAAAATTTTAAAAAATTTAAAAAAGGGGAGAATAAATGTGAGACAGATTCTACTTGAAACTTTTTATTACCTCTTTGAACTTCAACAGATCAGAGACAATTTTGAAATATGCCTACTCAGAATGGCCAATAAAACAACATTCATTTTATGATGCAAGGAATTTTGGTTTAGAAAAAACTTTTGGTAGCAAAATTGCTGATGTGGGAAGATGAGTTAAAAAATCACTAGAGGTTGGAGGAATGGCGCAAGGGGAAGGACGCCTACCGAGCAAGCGTGTGGCCCTGAGCTCGCTCCCCAGCGCCACCCAAACACACACACACACACACACATTACTAATAGCAAAAAGAATATTATTTTTTGTTTGTTTTTTTGGGTCTGGTCATGGGGCCTGAACTCTGGGCCTGAGCGCTGTCCCTCAGCTCTTTCTCTCAAGGCTAGCACACTACCACTTGAGCCACAGCGCCACTTCCGGCTTTTTATAGTAAAAAGAATATTAAGCCATATAACCAATTTACTGTTCAGAGCCCCAAGTATGTGAATTAATTGCTCTACCACTGAGATACACTCTCAGTCTTTTAGATTGGTTTAATACCAACTGATTAGAAAATAATTTCTCTGCAAACTTTAGTAAAGACACAATTTTAATCTATACAAGTATTATCAGCCTCAACTTTACACTTATTGGAAAACATACTGTCATACAGTCTTTCCATGTTAAAACAGACAGTAAAATACTAATGAGGATGAAATAATTCTTTTTTTTTTTGGGGGGGGGGGTCTGGTTGTGGGGCCTGAACTCTGGGCCTGGGTGCTGTCCCTCAGCTCTTCAGCTCAAGGCTAGCGCTCTACCACTTGAGCCACAGCGCCACTTCCGGCTTTTTTCTTTTTGCTTATGTGGTGCTGAGGAATCGAACCCAGGGTCTCAGGCATGCAAGGCAAGTGTTCTACCACTGAGCCACCTTCCCAGCAGGATGAAATAATTCTAGAATTGAGAGAAAGTAAATATAATTAGTAAGCAACAAAAATACATTTAATATAAAGCTGTTATAATATTCAGACAATACATGATAAGCTATAGCCATTTCCAGAATTAAGACATGGGTATAACTCAGAGTTGTGTACTCCACAAACTATAACATATAAAAACACATAGCTAGCAGGCAAGAAATTTTCAAAAAAGTCTGAAAGCACAGCACCAAGAAATACTAGTCAGCAGACTGTACCATTGCTCTTCTCTAAGGCTTGCATCGTGTCAGGATCCAGAGCAATGCTAACAAGCAATTCCATGTAACTCTTAAAAGTTTCCTTCATTGCTCTTGTGTTCAAAAACCGAGTGACAAAGGGAGCTGGAGGATCAAATTCTAGGATGGAGAAGAGATGAAATATTAAAATTTTCCTAACAACTTTAACTTTCTTTATACTAGAAGCCTAAAGGCAGATAGAAACTTTCAATGAAATTCCTTCCAATTCAAGGCTTCCTCAGAACACCCAGGTGAGAGAGACTCTTACAAGCTGGTTTGTGTATGAGTCATGAAAAAGCTTTGAAAAAAGCAAACAAAAGCCAGACTGCTAGACTTACTAAAACAGAATCTATGGTGGTGGTGGTAATGGAAGAGTAGTGTTAAAGTTTGAATATTGTACTTTTAAAAAGTTTCCTAGGTGATTTCTGAGGTCTAATACCAGTCTAGCATCTGAATAAACCCAGACCACAGAAAACTATTGCTAGTTCATGCCACTGTAGTTTTGATTGCTTCTCTATTTGTAGATAGTAAAGAAACCTTAAACTATGGGTCCATGTAGCCATCTCCCTCCCTTTTTAATTCCCATACTTAAAATTCTGATCTACAGCAGATTTAAATTTTGTTTAACTTTGGAATCCTAACATTTATAAAACAGAAGAGGTAGAAAGATCAAAGTTCAAGGAAAACTTGACCCTGTTTCAAAATACCAAAACAACTAAAAAAATGTGGCTGTGGTATAATATAAACATGCTATAGAATGTTACTCATAAAAGGTGTTAAGTTCTGCTACAAGCTACAATATAAACTTTGAAAACACGCTAAGTCAACGAAACTCAACACAAAAGGACATATATTCAACATACACAGGGCAAATTCATATAAAATAAAAGTGGTTACACAACTAGGAGAATAGGAGGGTAAAGGTTATTAATTAATGTTTACGCACTTGCTACTGTGATTAAATTTTGGAAACAGGTACTGGTGATGACTATACTACATTGCAAATGTAATCATATAGTGTATTATATACTTAAACTTGAAAATGATTAAAATGGCAAATATCAAGCATTATGTTTAAATATGAAAATAAATGAAATGAATTTTTATAAGATGTCAATAATTAATTTACCACATGATCAATGAATGCTATGACATTCATTGACATGACATTCACACATGAATAAAAGATACATTCAGCGGGGTGCTGGCGGCTCACACCTATACTCCTAGCTACTCAGGAGGCTGAGATCTGAGGATCATGGTTCAGAGGCAGACTGTGCAGCCAAGTCTGTGAAATTCTTTGTAGTCCCCGCCCCCCCCCCCCCCCCCCCGGGCTGAGGATCGAACCCAGGGCCTTGCGTGTGCCAGGTGGGTGCCGTTCCGCTGGGCTAAACCCCCAGCCCCAGTCTGTGAAATTCTTTTTTTTTTTTTTTGGGTCCGGTCGTGGGGCCTGAACTCTGGGCCTGGGTGCTGTCCCTCAGCTCTTCAGCTCAAGGCTAGCGCTCTACCACTTGAGCCACAGCACCACTTCCGGCGTTTTTTTTCTTTTTGCTTATGTGGTGCTGAGGAATCGAACCCAGGGCCTCATGCATGCAAGGCAAGTGCTCTACCACTGAGCCACCTTCCCAGCCCTGTGAAATTCTTATGTCCAATTAACTACCAGAAAATTTTAAGTGGAGCTGTGGCTCTAAGTGGAAGAGCACTAGCCTTGAGCAAAAAAGGGACAATGCGCAGGCCCTAAGTTCAGGCCCCCACAATCAAACAATGACAACAGAAAGATATGTTTTGAGGGCAAACAAGCCAGGAGATTTTAACATACATACTCTTTACCTTCCCAACTTCATTGCTATGAAATGCTATGTTTTCTTTATATACTTTAACCAAACACATGTCACAACAAATTAAAGATGGAGTACATGTGAAAATGACATTCAGGCCAGGCACTGGTGGCTCACGCCTATAATCCTAACTACTTAGGAAGTGGAGATCTGAGGATCATGGTTCAAAGCCAGCCTGGGCAGAAAAGTCCAATAAACCACCAGAAAATTGGAAGTGGCGCTGTGGCTCAAGTGGTAAGCGCTTGCCTTGAGCTGAAGAGCTGAGGGACAGTGCCCAGACCCAGAGTTCAAAGTTCAAGCCCCACAACCGAAAGAAAAAAAAAAAAAAAGCCGGCGCTGGTGGCTCACGCCTGTAATCCTAGCTACTCAGGAGGCTGAGATCTGAGGATCGCAGTTCAAAGCCAGCCCGGGCAGGAGAGACCGTGAGACTCCTATCTCCAAACCACCAGAAAACCGGAAGTGGCGCTGTAGCTCAAGTGGTAGAGTGCTCGCCTTGAGCTGAAGAGCTGAGGGACAGCTCCCAGGCCCACAGTTCAAGCCCCACGACCGACCAAAAAAAAAGAAAAAAAAAAAAGACATTCATCTCAATAAATGTTTCTGTTTGGTGATGTTATTTTTCAAAAATTATGTAAAGTAAAATTGGAAATATCACCATGAAACCTTTTAACCATTTATAATAATAAAAAGTTGTTAAATGACATTAAGAATTCACAGATTTCACCCACATACAGTATCTAGAACCCTCAATACTTTTGGAGACTACAGTTGTCCTGAAAGAAGTTTGAAAGTCAGGCCTGGGAATGTGGCTTTGTGGTAGAGTGCTTGCCTAGTATGTATGAAGCCCTGGGTTCGATTTCTCGGTACCACATATACCACATATACAGGTAAAGCTGGAAGTGGTGCTGTGGCTCAAGTGGCAGAGTGCTAGCCTTGAGCTGAAGAGCTCAGGGACGAAACAAAAAACACACACAAGAACACAAGAAATTTGAAAGTCAACATCATATAAATCTACTATTATAACCAGGCGCTGGTGGCTCATGCTTGTAATCCTAGCTACTCAAGAGGCTGAGATCTAAGGATTGTGATTCAAAGCCAGCCTGGGGAAGGAAAGTCTATGAGACTCTCTTTCCTGCCCGGGCTGGCTTTGAACCGCGATCCTCAGGCATGAGCCACCTGCGCTCGGCCACAAATAGCTCTATGAGCCTCTTATCATCAATTAACTACCAGAAAACTGGAAAGTGGTTCTGTGGCTCAAGTGGTACAGCACTCCCCTTGAGCTGAAGAGCTCAGGGACAGTGCCCAGGCCCAGAGTTCAAGCCCCACGACGGACAAAATTTTTTTTTACTATTACAGATATATGACTTCTTTAAAGTATTAAGAAAGCCAGGTGCCAGTGGCTCACACCTGTAGGATCCTAATAGCTAGAATGAGCTACTCAAGTGGCTAAAAATCTGAAGAAGCCAGCATGGACAGAAAGTCTGTGATCTCCAATTAAACACACACACATACACAGAGCCAGACACAGAGACACAGAGAAAGAGAGAGAGAGAAAGAGAGAGAGAGAGAGAGAGAGAGACAGCGAGGAGTGGAGATCAAGTGGTAGAGTGTTATACCTTGAGCCAAGAGGCTCAGGGAGCCTGGCAGAGTTCAAGCCCCAGTAGTAGCACCAAAAAACCCCACAAAAATTCCACTAAGAATGTGTGTTTAGGGGCTGGGAAGGTGGCTCAGTGGTAGAGCGCTTGCCTTGCAAGCCTGAGGCCCTGGGTTCGATTCCTCAGCACCATAAGCAAAAAAGAAAAAAGGCGGAAAGCGGCGCTGTGGCTCAAGTGGTAGAGTGCTAGCCTTGAGCTGAAGAGCTGAGGGACAGCACCCAGGCCCAGAGTTCAGGCCCCACAACCAGACCCAAAAAAAAAAAAAAAGTGTGTTTAAATACTAGCGACACCTAGTGGCCACTTATTTTATCAATGCAAGGAAATTTTAGCTTGTCTTTTGAAGAAATTATGTAAAGCCTGGTGCTGGTGACTCATGCCTGTAACCACATCTACTTGAGGTTTGAAGCCAGCCCCGGCAGGAAAGTCCATGAGACTCTTATCTCCAATAAACTACTCAAAAAAGCTGGAAGTGGCAGTGACAGAAATAGTAGAGTGCTAGCCTTAAGAAAAAAAAAGTTCAGGGGCTGGGAAGATGGCTCAGTGGTAGAACGCTTGCCTTGCATAAATGAGGCCCTGGGTTCGATTCCTCAGCACCACATAAGCAAAAAGAAAAAAGCCGGAAGTGGCTCTGTGGCTCAAGTGGTAGAGCGCTAGCCTTGAGCTGAAGAGCTGAGGGACAGCGCCCAGGTCCAGAGTTCAGACCCCACGACCGGACCCCCCGCCCCCCCCCCCAAAAAAAAAAAAAAAAAAAAGAAAAAAGTTCAGAGACAGTGCCCAGGCCCAGAGTTCAGGTGCCAGGACTGGTAAGAAAAAAAAAAAAGCCATAATTACAAATTCAGAACCCAAACTCCTCTATTCTAGTAAGTAGACAGGACTGCTAACTAGAAAAAAATCACATAAATGCCTTTATGCAAATCACTGAGATTCCTTATGAATTTTTATGTGTATACTTGTAAATAACCTTTCACAAATAGCTTTTTTTGTTTTTTTTGTTGGTCATGGGCTTGAACACAGCGCCACTTCTGGTTTTCAAGTGGTTTATTGGAGATAAGAGTCTCATGGACTTTCCTGTCCCGGCTAGCTTTGAACCGTGATCCTCAGGCATGAACCACCTGCACTCGGCCACAAATAGCTTTTTAATGGGGCTGGGAGAGATGGGAAGATAATATTGATCAGGATGGCACTGTACCCATAAACTGATATATTGAATCGAAACTCATTTGGATAACTACTTAAAAGAGAAAAACAAAAATACAAATAGTTTTTCTAAAATTACATTCAAGACAGACTTCAGCACTGAAGCTTATTTATTATAGCTCTATTTCTAATCTCTAACATCATCTCTCAAGCAGTGATAGGTGGAATTCATCAACCATCCTTGGTATCAACTACAACTACTTCTTCCACAATTAATTAATATTTAAACTTCATCAAGATTACTCAAATCTGCCCCACATCCTTCACCTCTGTTGCCACTGAATGATCCTATTTATACCTGCAACTCTCTCTTAAAATTAAAATTCAAATTTCACCATGTGGCTACTCCAAGGACTCTCTGTTGCTGAAAGGAATCCCAACCTTTTCAGCTGTAGTCACATTCATGGCCTTCCATCATCCCTTCATCTTTTATTTGTACCTTCAATTTATACTTTAGAAGAACAATAGTGAGTATTTTCTGTGAAGAACAGTATGGTAAAATATTTTAGGGTTTGTCAGGTCACACTGCCTTGTAGCAACTACTCAAATTTGCCACTATAGTGAGAAATTAACTATGGAAATGTGCCAATTTCCAAACAGTATTTGCAGAGCCACGTCCCAACAAAATTATTTACAGTAAGTGGCCAATATTCAGATTTTGTCTGCAGGCCAGTTTGCAATCTCTGTCCTGTGCTGAATGGCTTGAAATTTCTTGCATGTATCACACACCAAACCTTGATAGCTGATGGATTGCATGTTATATATTCTTGCCTTATGCAATTATCTGTTTTAATTTCTAATACAGTAAATATAAACAGATAAAGTACTCTTCAGGCTCTACAGATAAAGTACTCTTCCTGTTCTTAATAATTTTTAAGAGTGAAATAGCACTTTCAAAAAGTTTTGATTAATTGCTGATCTATTTCTACCTCATTTTATTAAAAATGGGGTTGTCTAACTTAGTCATGGGTTCATGGTTGGTAGCAGACAGTAGTATGTATCTTAGATCAGAGTATACATTATTATACACCTTAACTGTATTAATTATACTTTGAAATAGCTACTTTCTAGGGTTGTAGCTCTTTTATTTTGGCATAAACACTACTCACAAGTTTAGAACTCGAGAATTCTTAGTAGTCATCTTGTCTAACCCTTTTCTAGCCATAGGAGGTACTTCACATTACTGATGATATAATTCAAAAAGGTAAATCCTGATTTTCCTATTTTACAAGGATGATTTTATGGCCCAACTATTCCTCAGTAGATGTGCTGTTTTCACAAAAGCATAGTACAACTTCTAAGAGAGAAATCCAGCGGAAAAACGAATCAATTCTGAACTGGCACCACCATTGACCATCTCCATTCACGCAGCCTGTCAGAGGTGTTGGTTTCAGGGAAAACTCACCCCCGTCATCACTGCTGCTAGAATGGACCTCAGGAGACGAGTCAGATTGCGAGGATGAGAACTCTTCTTTCCATTTCTTCCGTTTCTTTGGTGGTGGCTCAGCTTTTATTTTTAGCTGTTTAACTTTGGGTTTCATGGAAGGGGCTTTTGAAGTTGTAGTCATTTTTGATGTTGGAGGATCCGAAGTTTTATTGCTATTACATGGCTTGGCCTGAACAGTTCTGCAATGTTACAAGCAAATTTAATTAAGACATTTAAATCTTGTAAGATTTAAATTAAATTTAAATTAAAACAAATTAGAAAAAAACATAACCATGGAGATTATTATTTAAATATCCTAACCAACACTCTCAAAATAAGCCCAAATCCTACTTAATTTCAATAGTGATTCCCATAAAGTTTTCTCAAAATACATCCTTTAACTACTGGCAATCAATGTTCAGTTATTAACAGGATAACAGTTCAATTCCCATTTCTGTCTTCACTTTTCCTTTCTTTCTGGACTCATTTTCCAGAAAATAAGAAGCTTATCAGAGGCTTTTGGAAGTCCTGCATGAAAAACTGTTGACAAACAAATCTAGCTGTGGCTGACAGAAACTTACAAGCTCTGGTAGTATTAACATGCAAATCCAAATACATCTTAATGAGAGTCTCAAAAGATTTGTTCTATGCTGGGTCTAGAAATTTAAATGGTTAAATTCCATCATCAAAAACTATGTGAGAGGGGGCTGGGAAGGTGGCTCAGTGGTAGAGTGCTTGCCTTGCATGCATGAGGCCCTGGGTTCAATTCCTCAGTACCACATAAGCAAAAAGAAAAAAAGCCGGAAGTGGTGCTGTGGCTCAAGTGGTAGAACATTAGCCTTGAGCTGAAGAGCTGAGGGACAGCGCCCAGGCCCAGAGTTCAGGCCCCACGACCGGACCAAAAAAAACCCAAAAAAACAAAAAACAAAAACTATGTGAGAAATTCCAATTCATGGGAATCTTAATTATATTAGACCTGAGTGGCAGAAGACTGAAAATATTCTCATCACAGAGTCAGATCGGTTATCTTCCCAGATTTATGCTACAACAACCCAGGCTCATACAATCAAAGGCAACTATACACTTTTCTAGTAATACATGGGTTTCATGGTTTTATGTTTTTTTAATAAAAAATTATCTCTAGCTAGGTGGCAGACACTTGTAAGTCTAGCTACTAAGGAGGCTGAGATCTGAGGACTGTAGTTCAAAGCAAGCCCAGGAAGGATAGTCTGTGAGACTCTTATTTCCAGTTAACTGCCAAAAACAGCTAGAAGTAGTATGAGAGCTAGCCTAGAGCAAAAAAACTCAGAAACAGCACCCAGGCAGAATTCAAACCACAGGATTGGCACACGCTAGCACATGCATGCATGCATACGCACGCGTCCATGCGCGCGCGCGCGCGCGCGCACACACACACACACACACACACACACTGCCCTAAAGGATTTCATAAGGTAATCTAAAGGATTACATAAGGCAGGATTTCAAAGGTGTAACTCTTCTGAGCAACAAATGTACTGTTTATCAAAATGAATGCCAGGATGTAGAAACATATTTTTGGGACTAGGAAAAGGGAGGAGGGCACATGAATGGAGGGAGGAGGGGTGAGCTAATGCGATAACTTTAAATTAAATTAGGTCACTCTTTCTTTCTTGTTTTTAAAGTCAGTAGTGGGCCTAGGAGCTGTCCCTCAGCTCTTCAGTTCAAGGCGTTCTACCACTTGAGCCACAGCACCACTTGTGGTTTTCTGAGTGGTTTATTGGAGATAAGAGTCTCCAGGACTTTCCTGCCCAGGTTGGCTTTGAACCCAGATCCTCAGATCTCAGCCTCCTGAGTAGCTAGGATTATAGGTGTGAGCCACCAGCGCCTGGCTGTCTGAGTTCTTTTGCTCAAGATTAATACTCTATCTACCATTTGAGTCACAGTGTCAGGTCTGGTTTTCTGGTGGCTAACTGTAGAGTCTCAGGGACTTCCTACCCAGATTGGCCCTGAACCTCCATCCTCAGATCTCAGCCTCCTGAGTAGCTAGGATTATAGGCATGAGCCTTCAGTGCCCAACTCACTACTCCAATTTTTAGAGTTCTGTAAAAATAAGAGCTTATTTTTTCTCTTCTGTACACAATATATTTATATATCTTAGTGTACTTTTGAAAAATGTACACATACATAATATTTGAAAACACGAGGAATAATGAAAAGAATGATGGGGAGGGATGACACCGATTAAAAGCACCATAGTCAACATTTCTTATGGGATTATAACCTCTTTGTGCAACTACTTAATGATAATAAAAAAAATTCTTATTGTAAACTTGACATACTCTTACTGTTTTCACTTTATAGGTAGAAAAAAAGGGCTTCAGAAAAGTTTGTCTTCTCTATCACAAAAAAGTAGACTCAAATCATTTCTCTCTAAATTATTTTTCCCATAACAGATAGCCATGAGCTTTACAAGTTCATTTGTTCATAATACAAACAAATCAATCTATTCAGTAGATATATTCTTTTGTACAATGACATTGAAATATGCCTATAAATTATATAAAAAAACTAATATGCAAAGGGGAGGCACAGAAAGGAATGGAGGGAGGGTGAACAATCATGGCATTCAATATGGACTATGTGGAAAATGAACTATACAACTTGTGGGCAGGGACAGGAGGGGGAAACTGAAGGAATGCAAAGAAAAGGGTGACACTGTCCAAAAGGGAAATACACTATCTGAATTGTGACATGGTGATCCCTCTGTACAACACCTTAATAGTAATAGAATTATATTAAAACAAAACAAATACCTGATAGTTTGTGAAGGCTTACTTCTTGGCTTTTTAGAACATACTCTGACATATTCTTTTTTGTTTGCATTTTCAATGAACTTCACATATATCCTTTTGTATTTAGTCTTTGCATCTCCAAAATATCCAAGGTACTAAGGAAAGAAACATCATGAATTACATAATTATTGGAGTTATGTGTTATATAATCAATAGTTATATACATAATTATTGAAGTGCTGGGAACCACACCCAGAGCCTTGCAGATGATAAGCAGATGTTCTATCACTGAGCTATATCTTCAGTCCTCTATGTTCATACTTGGGTTTGTTTTTTCTTTGTCAGTCCTGGGGCTTGAACTCAGGGCCTGAGCACTGTCCCTGAGCTTCTTTTTGCTTAAGGCTAGCACCTTACCATGTGAGCCCCAGCACCATGCCCTTTTCTGTTTATGTGGTGCTGAAGAATCAAACCCAGGACTTTGTGCATGCTAGGCAAGAACTCTACCACTGAGTCACATTCCCAGCCCTCTATGTTCTTTTTTTTTTTTTTTTGTCAGGTATGTAGCCTGAGCTCTGGACCTGGTACTGTCCCTGAACTTTTCAGCTCAAGACTAGCGCCCTACTACTTGAGCCACAGTGCCACTTCTGGCTTTTTCTGCTTATATGGTACTGAGGAATCCAACTTAGGGTCTCATGCATGCAAGGCAAGCACTCTACCACTTGCCTTGCATGCAAGAGGCCCTGGGTTCGATTCCTCAGCACCACATAAACAGAAAAAACAAAGTAGTGTTACCTAGCAGATTCTAACATAAAGCTACTAAACAGCTATATAAAAATAAAAGATTATCAGTCTTCTGATATACCAGGGCATTTGTTAGAATAACTAATATGAAAGCATCTAAGTCCATCTATAATTTTGAGACTAACAGTAGTCCCTTTCATGTATATGTATATGTAGTTAAGCAACAATATGAAGTCATTTACATTTTACATAGTGGGATTTATTTGCTGTTACATCACATTATCAGCATCACATACTTTCTGTCAAATTTATGCTATTTTAAGTCATAAACATTCAGTACAAAATGTATTAAAATCCAAATAGTTCTTTATTTTCCCCAGGTTCAGTGAGAAAACAGAAAGGATAATTAAAACAAGCATTTTGGGGCTGTGGACACAACTCGATTGGTGCCTAACAAGCAAAGGCCCTCAGTTCAAACCACAGTATCACCAAAGCAAAAAAAAAAATTTTACGTACACTATTTGTAGCAGCAAATTCTCTTTGACCATCTCGAATTTCGGGAACAAATTTCTGCAATAAAGCTTTTTGTACTTTCCAAATAGCTGGAGGTTCTTTTCCTATCTTTAAAGCTTCCTGTAATAAGTAAAATTAATTATATTTATAAAAAGTATTAACATATTTTATACTTATTGAATATCTATCTTACATATATAACTTAAAAAAATAATATTGTATACATTTTTAAAATTTAATTTTATTTTTTGCCAGTCCTAGGGTGTGAATTCAGGGCCTGGCACTGTCCTTGAGCCTCTTTTGCTTAAGGCTAGCACTCTACCACTTGAGCCACAGAACTACTTCCTTAAAGCTGCAATTTTAAAGACAAACCTAGCTGGTTCAGTTTTCTGCAATACGTGTGTGTGTGTATGTGTGTGTGTGTGTGTGTGTGTGTGTGCGCGCGTGTGCACACACACACATATATATAATTTCCTCTCACACCCCACTGTAGTCTTGGAGATCAAGCTCAAATCTCACAAGCTATTTAAGTGCTCTACCACTGAGGTATATATCCCCCTCTCATACCAATAATTTTTTTTTTTGGTTGGTCGTGGGGCTTGAACTCTGGGCTTGGGTGCTGTCCCTGTGCTCTTCAGCTCAAGGCAAGCGCTCTACCACTTGAGCCACAGCGCCATATCTGGTTTTCTAGTGGTTTATTGGAGATAAGAGTCTCACAGACTTTCCTGCCCGGGCTGGCTTTGAACCGAATCCTCTCAGATCTCAGCCTCCTGAGTAGCTAGGATTACAGGCGTGAGCCACTGGCACCTGTCCCAATAATTCTTTATAAGCTAGTTAGGTTTATTCAGTCTCTGCATATTTCTTGCATAATACCAAGTTCTAAGTCCTATAGTATGACTAAAACTATTGGAAAGTCTTCTCCTTTGTCATATATTATTTATACAACTTTTAAGAGTGTAAACCAGGGCTGGGAAGGTGGCTCAGTGGTAGAGTGCTTGCCTTGCATGCATGAGGCCCTGGGTTCAATTCCTTAGCACCACATAAGTAAAAAGAAAAAAGCCGGAAGTGGTGCTGTGGCTCAAGTGGTAGAGCACTAGCCTTGAGCTGAAGAGCTGAGGGACAGCGCCCAGGCCCAGAGTTCAGGCCCCATGACCCGACCCCCCCCCCCCCCCAAAAAAAAGGTGTAAACCAGAAGTGGAGCTGTAGCTCAAAGTGGTAGAGCACTAGCCTTGAGCAAGAACACTCAGGAGGGTGGGAAGGGGGAGATGGGAAGGGTTAGGAAGGGGAAACAAAGGAAGAGGCAACAATGCTTCGTAAGAAATGTACACATTATCTTGCCCATGTAATTGTAACTCCTTTGCATGGTATTTTCACAATTAAAAAAAAAAAAAAAAAAAAAAAAAGAACACTCAGGAACAGAATCCAGGCCCTGAGTTCAAGCCCTACAACTGACAAAACAAAACCAAAACTGAAAATATAGTAGGCATTCATACACAGTGAGACCAAAGGAGGGTACTCTTAGTAGAGGAACAGAAAGGCACAATGCCTATGTGTATCTGATCATATAAAATAATATTTATGAAATGATCTCCAGGAAATGAAAAAAAGAGTTTTTTTCTTTTTTGCTGCTTTTGTTTTCTTTCTTTTTCTTCCGTTTGTTCATTTATATGTCTTTGGGAGTAAAAGGGGAGACACAGAAATGGAGGGATAAAGGGTGACAAATGCAGCAATGGTACTCACAGGACACTATGTTGAACATGAACTATGTAAGTTATAGGTGGGAATGAAAAGGAAAAAATGGGAGACAGCAAGCAAAAGGGTGACACTGTCCAAAAGGTGACATTGTACTTTTTACCTGGCTCTTGTAACTATAACCCCTTTGTATATCATCTTTATAATAACAATAAAAATTCAAAAATAAAAAATCTGAGAATATATTATCTTCAACAAAGCCGAATTACATTGTTAAGTTATACTTCTGATATTTTTATTAAATTTGTTTTGGGGGAGTGTTAAACTCAGGGACTCATGCATGCTAGGCAGGCGCTCTACCACTGGAGCTACTCTGCCAGTTCCACTTTTTGTGTTGATCAGTCTTTTTTTCTTTTTCTTTTTTCTCTGTTGTGGTTCTTGAACTCTGAGCCTGGATGCTGTCCCTCAGCTCTTCAACTCAAGGCTAGGACTCTAGGGCCTCTTCAGGTTTTCTAGTGGTTAACTGGAGATAAAAGTCTCACAGACTTTCCTTCTGGGGCTGGTTTGAACTGTGATCCTCAGATCTTAGCCTTCTGAATTGCTAGGATTACAGGTGTGAGCTACCAGCACCCGGCTATGTTCATTATATCTTGCTTAACCACAAAGATGGCCTGGCCTGAGAGTCTCCTATTTATGCTTACCTTCCCTGCATTGATGAGATGACAGGTCCAAATCACAATACCTAGACATTGGTGGAGAAGAATCTTGTGCATTTATTTTTGGCCTGGGCTGGCTTCAAAGTGCAATCCTGTGATTTCCATTCTCCTAAGTAACTAGGATTATGAGCTTGAACCATTGCTCAGCCTCTTTAAATTTAAACTATAGAAAGAGCTAAAACTCCTCTAATAGAAGCTTGGGGGGAAAAAAAAATTCTAAAATCAATGCAGCTAAAGTATCAAATACAAATAACTACTCAGAAATACATAAAATCAAGAGTTAAAATTATCTTCCAGTTTCCTTTTCCTAAATAATGACAGCTAGGTGCTGGTGGCTCATACCTACAATTCTAGTTACTGAGGAAGCTGAGACCTGGTTCAAGGCAGAAAAGTCTGCAAAATCACCCCTAATTAACCAGCAAAATGCTGAACTGGAAGTAGGACTCAATTGGTAGAAGGCCAGTTGTGATTGAAAAAGCCTAGCAAAAATGTCAAGCCCCTTAGTTCAAGCCCTAGTACTGGCTCAATCAGTCAATTAACCAAATATCAGAAATTGGCTGAGCATGATGGTACATGCCTGTAATCTCAGCATTTGGGAAGCTAAGGCAGGAAGATCCGGAGTTGGAGGGCAGCCTAGCCTGGGCTACATAACATGTTTAATTAAGGACAGCCTAGGGTGGATAATGAGACATTTAAAAAAACTCTGTCTTATTAAATACTTATAATAACTTTCTATAAAGGAGAGCAGCATGCCTTGAAGTCACCATGATATCTACCACAGGCACTAAATTAAGATTTTCATACCAGTAAACAGTAACATCACCTTAAATGTCTCTATGTCTTCTATCTTTACCACAAATTCATCACGCTCTCTATATTGGCCTTCTCCTCCACTTTCTGTGTTCTCCTCATCTGTAAAACCTTCTATGGCAACAGTGTCCTGTCCTTTTGCAAACTGGTCTGAAGGAAGACCATCAAGTTCAGGCTTTGGGGGTTCGGTGCAGTTTATATTTTCCAGGATGTTTGTTGCAGATGAAGTAGAGTGAAGTTCTTGCTTAGCTGCACCAACAGTGGTGGAGGAAACAGCAGCAGTACTAGTAGTACTGGTAGATGGGCTACGAGTTACCACTGGCAGGGCATCTGAAACTAAAACACACACAAATTCAGAAATACAAATATTTAACCATTACAGGTTTCCCATAGATCTAAAGAGTTTAGACTTGATTATTTTGCAGTCAATTGATTAAAATGATACCCACAAAGGAAAAGAATGGTTAATAATCCAAGAATCAATGATATGCAAATTAAATCTGGATGGCAGTAAGACTGAACATCTTAGATGGAAACCTGCATCTATGTACTTATCATTTCCCCAAACTTTACTTTAAGTAAATCAAAGATAACTTGAAAAAAATAGGGACACATAAAAGAAGATAAGGGTTTACTAACCAAGCCAAATAAAGAAGAAAGGTTAATAAAATGTGGGGAAAAATATAATTTGAAATAGCACTAGTAAGCTATTAAAATAAAAAGATCATAAAGTAATATTATGGAAAACTGTCAACGAACTTACTTGAATGTTAATGGATAAATTCCTAGAAATGTATAAGCTACTAAAGACTCAGTAGAAATAGAAAATCAAAATAGACTAATATCAAATAAAGAGAATTAGGTAGTTAAAAGCATCCTACAAACGGGCTGGGAAGGTGGCTCAGTGGTAGAGCACTTGCCTTGCATGCCTGAGGCCCTGGGTTCGATTCCTCAGCACCACATAAGCAAAAAGAAAAAAGCCGGAAGTGGCGCTGTGGCTCAAGTGGTAGAGTGCTAGCCTTGAGCTGAAGAGCTGAGGGACAGCGCCCCGGCCCAGAGTTCAGGCCCCACAACCGGGCCCAAAAAAAAAAAAGCATCCTACAAAGAAAAAACAAGCACAGGCTCAAATAGCTTTACTGCTAAGTCTATCAAGAATTAAAAAAGAATTAATACTAATCCTTCATAAATTCTAAATATTATGAGCAAATACTTTCCAACTCATTCTATTAGGGCAGAATTATTATAATACCAGACCAAGCAAAAATATTATAAGAATACTCTAGGCCAATATCCAATCTGATATAAAAATCTTCAACAACATACAAGCAAATTCAATAACAGAGTCTAGCAAAATGAGGCCCTGATTTTAATCTTCAGAACAACAACAAAAACCCAAAAAACATACAATTATGAACAAGTAGGATTTGTCTTAAGAATGTAAAGTTGGTTAATACCTTAACATCAGTTCTTGCAATATACTATGTCAACACAATGAAGAACAAAATATAAAATCATCTAACTGCTATTAAAAAAAAGCACTGAAAAAATTATATACAAAACATCCAGTAACCTAAAAATAGAAAGTCTCCTTGGGCTTGATAAGGGATATATAGAAAAAACCCATAGTTAACATCATACTTAGTGAGGAAAAACTGAATGTTTTTCCCTAAGGATATCTATGAATTATCCTTCATTTTAGAATCTTGTGTATAAAATCCTAAGAAACTTGCTAAAAGCTCTTTAGAATTAATAAATGAAGATATTAAGATTGCAGAGTATAAAACTCAAGTGTATTTCTAAAAACTGTAATGAGCAAATCTAAAAATGAAATTAGTAAAACAATTTCATTTACAGTAGTGCTGAAACTAATGTAATATTTAGGAATATATTTATATCACAAAATTTGCACTGAAAACTTTTCAAAGACATTTAAAGAAGTCAAAGGTGGTCAGACACACCTGGTGCTATTTGCTTATAACCCTACCTACGTAGGAGGTAGTGGCAGAAGGATACTTAGTTTAAAGTCACTGTAGACAAAGTTAGCCAAGACCTTATTTCTAATGAAAAAGAAACAGGCTGGAGGCACAGTTCAAGTGGAATGAAGGCAAGTGTGAGCACTGGGTTCAGCCCTAATACATGAATGAATGAACAAATAGTCCATGTCCATAGATCCCACGATTCAAAATTGTGAATGGCAACAGTACCCAAACTTAGCTAAATCTTGTAATTTTTTTTTTTTTTTTGGTCAGTCCTGGGGCCTGAAATCTGGGCCTGGGCACTGTCCCTCAGCTCTTTGGCTCAAGGCTAGTGTTTTACCACTTGGAGCCACAGCCCCACTTCTGGCCTTTTCTGCCTATGTGGTGCTGAGGAATCGAACCCAGGGCCTCATGCATGCAAGGCAAGCACTCTACCACTGAGCCACCTTCCCATTCCTATAGTAATTTTTTACAAGTGCATTTTCCCCATTATCTGATACACAGATCTTAAAATCCTCATCAAAGTGAAAAAGACCTAGAACCAAACAATCTTGAAAACAGAAAAACATTTCACAATTTTAAAGCTTACTATATAACACAAGACAGTAAGATTAATATACTCTCATAATCATAGATCAATGAATATTTATGACCAAAAGATTTTCAAAGGTACCAAAATCAGTTAAGTAGGGAAAGAATACTTTTTAAAACATAGTGCATGAGACAACAAAAAAAAGAATGAAATTGTATTTTTTCCTTGCACTTTATACAAAATTAACTCAATTCATGTATTTATTAGAGATTTGTGTTCAGAATATGTATAGAACTCTTGTGTCACCATACCAAATACTTATAACCAATTTTAAAATTGAGCAAAGGCCAGGTGTGCTAGCTCAAGCCTGTAATCTCAGCACTTAGGAGGCTATGATAGGAGGATCATTAGTCTACAGCCAGCCTGGCTACATAGCAAGACCTTGTCTAAGAAAACAAAGAGCCAAAACAGCCAATGTCATCTTCACCAACAGCAGAAAAAAATAAAAATTAAAAAAAAAACACCAAAAAAAGTCAAAAGAACGTGAACAGAAATTTCCAAATATATTAAAATGAACTATAAACACCAAGAAAGGCCACTCAAAATTAATCATAACTGCAAATCAGAAATACAACTTCAAACCCATTACAGTAGCATTAATTAATCATATAGACAGTGACAAGTGGCACAAAAATATGGAGTAACTGGAACATTATACAGGATAGCCACTACTAGGAAAACAACCTTGGCTATTTTCCCATAACACATGAGATATTATACAGCAATCTCATGTTACTCTAAATAATACAAATAAAATAAAAATAGGAGGATATGCATTTGTTCATAGGCTGTAAAAGCTGTTCCCTAAAAAAAAAAAGTAAATTCTACTTTCCAAGAGTGATTGAAGAGCTGAGCTAGAATCAAATCAGAGTTCAACAGGGAAAAATAATGAGTGAGAACACAGGCCCAGAAGGAAGGAAGAAAGGAAGAAAAGAAGAAAGGAAGAAAGGAAGGAAAGAAAGAAGGAAGGGAGGAAGGAAGGAAGGAAGGAAGGGAGGGAGGGAGGGAGGGAGGGAGGGAGAAAGGAGCAGAGCTAAAAAAAAAAAAGAAAAAAGAAAAAATAGAAATAGGGGAGTAAAGGAAATGTTCCTGTACCAAGATTAAAACAAGACTCATACATTTCTGATTCCCTTTAATCAAAGAGAAAGGACAGTTGAGAAAACAGAATAATTACCTTCAAAGCTCATACTTCAGAATTTTATTCTCACGTAATACATTTTATACTACTATTTTTCTGCCACAAAAATATGCATAGAGGGCTGGGAAGATGGCTCAGTGGTTGAGCGCTTGCCTTGCATGCCTGAGGCCCTGGGTTCAGTTCCTCAGCACCACATAAGCAAAAAGAAAAAAGCCGGAAGTGGCGCTGTGGCTCAAGTGGTAGAGCGCTAGCCTTGAGCTGAAGAGCTGAGGGGCAGCGCCCAGGCCCAGAGTTCAGGCCCCACTACCGGACCCAAAAAAAAAAAAAAAAAAAATGCATAGAAATGGTAGGTGGCATATCTTAAACAACAGGTTCTTTATATTACCTAACCCTAACATTAATACATAATTGGGTTTTGTTTTTGGTGCCAGTCCTGGGGCTTGAACTCAGGGCCTGGGCGCCTGGTTATTGAGCTTTTTTTAATTTTTGTGTGTGTGTGTGTGGGGGGGGGGGTCATGGGGCTTGAAGTCTAGGCCTGGGCTCTGTCCCTCAGCTCTTCAGCAAGGTGAGTGTTCCCACTTGAGCCACAGCACCACTTCCGGTTTTCTGGTGGTTTACTGAAGAGTCTCATGGACTTTCCTGCCCGGGCTGGCTTTGAACTGTGACCCTCAGATCTCAGCCTCCTGAGTAGCTAGGATTATAGGTGTGAGTCACTGGCACTTAGCTTCCTGAGCTTTTTTTGATCCAGGCTAACACTACCACTTGAGCCAGTGAGCTTCACTTCTGGCTTTTCTGGTAAATAATAAGAGATAAGATGTTTACAGGCTTGCCGGGGCTGGCTTCGAACTGCAAACCTTGTATCTCAGTCTCCTGAGTTGCTAGGATTACAGGCATGAACCACCAGTGTCCAGTTTATAATAATTATTAATTCAAAAAGAATATTTCTCTTGGGTAGATACAGTATTTAAAATTATTAATATACAAATTATTAATACACAAACCCATAGGATTTTACAATTCTATTTCTTTCCCTTTTTTACTGGTAAAAGAACTGAGAAACCACATTCAAAAGATGAATAAAGGATAAACAAAATAAACAAAAGATGAATAAAGGATACTATTTCCTGTAAGCAAAAAATGATGAAAATTGCTATGAACAAAAACAAAGAAAACAAAAAAGATTGCCAAGCTATTTGTTTTCACTAGATGCAAAGTGCGAAGACATGACTCCAAAGATATGAAGTGAAAGAAAGAAGAGTAAAGCGCTAAATAAAGAACCACCAGGCACCTGTTGCTCACACTTGTAAGCCTACCTATTTGGGAGGCTGAGATCTGAGATCATGGTTCAAAGGCAGTTTGGGCAGGAAAATTCCTGCGAAGGATTGGAGGCAGGTTGTTAAATGGTTAAGTTCAAAAGTCTGCATTATCCAAAGAGATAAAGATACTAACAGATTTGGGGAAACTAAGAATGCATATGTCTAGGAAAAGAACAGAAATACTTAAACAGAACTATAAGTGGGAGAAAACTATCAGTGGGAGAATAGGTAAGAAAGAAATGAGTAAGATACATTCTTTTTTTGTTGTTGGTGTTGGTCATGGGGCCTGTACTCTGGGCCTGGGTGCTGTCCCT